TTAACCCCCCCAATATTTCTTTTAACCAATAACCATATCTTTTATCATCATTGTATTTGAGAACTTTTTTTAAGATACATTTTCCAAAACATCTCAAGTGAAAAGACATCATATGTAAGACCTAGATAACATAGTATACAGTCTCTGGGTTAGAGGGTCAATGCCACTGTCCTTACACCTCCCCACACGCCATACAAGCCTGTGTCTCCTCGTACACTGGTTGGTATCGTCTCCTGAGGGGGGGAAGGGGAAGGGGAAGGGGGAAGGGAAGGAAGGAAGGAGAGGGGAAGGGAAGGGGGGGAGAAGGGAAGGGGAAGGGGGAGAGGGGGAAGGGGAAAGGGGGAAGGGGTGTTAGTTGATTAAATGAGATGTAATAATAAGGTGAAGGTATAGATACTTAAGAACAGGTTATAGAATTAATATAAATACAGGTGTAGGTACAGGTTTATGTCTATAATTACAGGTACTGGTATAAGCTTAAGTTGAGATAGCATAGATGTGGGTGTGTGGGTGTGTGGGAGTATGTGGGTGTGTGGGTGTGTGGAGTGAGTGGGAGTATGTGGGTGTGTGGGTGTGTGGGGTGAGTGGGAGTATGTGGGTATGTGGGTGTGTGTCTTGTTGTGGGAGTGAGTGGAGTATGTGGGTGTGTGGAGTGAGTGGGAGTATGTGGGTGTGTGGGTGTGTGGGGTGAGTGGGAGTATGTGGGTATGTGGGTGTGTGTCTTGTTGTGGGAGTGAGTGGTGGACAGGTATAAACACGTGTCTTAATGACCCAGATATCAGAAGAGCAATGCTGGCCAACTCACACACACACACACACACACACACACACACACACACACACACACACACATGACGTCACAGCAGCACAGACACGGAAAGATTATCATGTTCTTGTTTCTGTTGTTTTACTGTTGTTGTTCTTTCTTTGTTTTGCTTCGATGATTTTGTTTTATTTCTGTTTTTGTTATGTTTTATGTGTTTGTTTTACTGTTGTTTATGTTTTGGGTTTCGTTTGCTGTGGCATTGTTGTTATTGTCAATGCTGTTTTTGTTGTTGTTACTTGTTAAAAACTCTCTGGTTGTTGTTGTTTTTGTTTTGTTATTTTTATTGGATTAAGTGGTGGATTGAGTGGTGGATTGAGTGGTGGATTAAGTGGTGGATTAAGTGGTGGATTGAGTGGTGGATTAAGTGGTGGATTGAGTGGTGGATTAAGTGGTGGATTAAGTGGTGGATTAAGTGGTGGATTAAGTGGTAGATTGAGTGGTGGATTAAGACGCCACTGGGAATGTTGATACATAAATTCTTGCCTCTAAAACAAACAAACAAACATTGGAACATGCAGACAATCACTGAGACTGACAAACAAACGTTGGTATATGTAAACAAGTGGTGGGCATAAACATCTAACTTGAACCATCATTATCAACGGGTTAAACCATCCTCTTCAGAGGGTTAAACCACCATCCTCAAAGGGTTAAACCATTATCCTCAAAGGGTTAAACCATCATCCTCAAAGGGTTTAAACCATCACCTTAAAGGAGTTAAACCATCATCTTAAAATAAGTTAAACCATCATCCTCAAAGGGTTTAAACCATCACCTTAAAGGAGTTAAATCATCATCTTAAAGAAGTTAAACCATCATCCTCAAAGGGTTTAAACCATCACCTTAAAGGAGTTAAACCATCATCTTAAAAGGAGTTAAACCATTATCCTCAAAGGGTTAAACCATAATCCTCCAAGGGTTAAACCATCATCCTCAATGGGTTCAACCAATATCTCGAAATTAAACCAACGTATCTCTGGTAATCCGGAAGGAAGCGTGTTGACTATATTTAAAGATAACGATTCTTGTAACTTAATGAAAACAAAAGATGAAAGGTGTGACGCTCATTAGTGCACCTTACCTGTGTCACCTGTTGTTATTATCATCAGGTGAAAATGTAGCCATTATCACCATATATAATAAGGTTAATATATGAACAGTTGCAATGAGACAAACTAACCACCTTATTGACGTAAACACACACCTTGATGCCGTAAACACACACCTTGATGACGTAAACACACACACCGTGATGACGTAAACACACACCTTGATGACGTAAACAGACACAAACACAAAAAGAGATAATTTAATTGATGCTAATGACTGATAAAACTAATTAACTGAAGCAAGAAAGAGGTGATTAACGTGTGTGTGTGTGTGTGTGTGTGTGTGTGTGTGTCGTGAAGCACACTGACCTACATCCTGTACACCCCATTGGATGACACGGTATATATATGAATCATGTTATCTTGTTCTTATCTGGTTACTTGAGCATTCATATCTAACACCTCTCTCTCTCTCTCCTCTCCTCCCTCCCCCCTCTCCCCTCCTTCCCCTCCCCCTTCCTTCCCCTCCCCTCTCCCCTCCCTCCCACCCCTCCCTTCCTCTCCCTATCTCACTTCCTTTTCTTCTTCTTCCTCTATTCCTCCCCCTCTCCTCACATCATAATCCCTCTCACTCTCCCACTCGACCACCTGCCAGCCCACCCACTCGGTCCCCTTTCTCCTCGTTTCATAATCCCTCTCACTCACCTTCCCCTCCCTCCCACCTCTCTTCTTTCCTTCAATCGTATAAAATAAATTAAAGAAAACTTATAATAATTCCTAATAATCTCCTTCATTGGACAGTATTTTGTTTTTTATTCAGAATTTCCCCGAATTTTGTTTTTATGATCGGCTTTTGTTTTACAGATATTTGTTTATATCACTTATAGTTTATTCATTTGTTTATTGCCTTTGTTTATTTTTCCTTATTTTTTACGCGGGATGAAACTATAGGGGGAGTATAATAAATATCAAAGAAGTAGATAAAGATTACGAAAAAGTAGATAAAAATAACGAAAAAGTAGATAAAGATAACGAAAAAGTAGATAAAGTAGACAGAGATAACGTAAAAGTAGATTATGATAACGAAAAATAGATCAGTCTTGCTTAATTCTAGTCTAATTAAGATTTTAACTTTCCCCTTAATCTCATTAAACCTAAACTAACTTAACCAAACTCGTACTGTATCTAGGTTAGGTTATGTCTTACCTTTTCTACCTAACCTAACCTAATCAAAGTTTAATCTAAGTGGAGGTAACCTGTAACTAAACCTAACTTCCCTACTTTAATGAAGCAAAATCAAAGTTACCTAACCTAACCCAATCTAACCTAACCTAACCTAACTTAAGCCAATCCTAAGTTGAATTTAAAGATGACCAACAAATTTAACCTAAACCAAACTAAATGTAATATAACTTAATCGAACCAAATTTTGCCCTAAGTTAAACTAAGACTTAATTTAACCCTAAGGTAAACTACACCTGACCTAATGAACACTAATTTAACCTCAGGTGTTATAGGTGAGGCAGAGAAACGTCCACAACATTGGTCTTAACTCTCTCTCTTAACTACGAATATACAAATATAACAAATATTAACCTTTACTAATAAAGCTCATTACTATGCATGAAATGACCTGGGGTGAAATTTTATTAACATATTTTAAAGTTTTCGTCGCACTAACACACAAAAGTTTACTTGATAAATACAATATTTTACATAACGTTCATAATCCGTAGATGTATTTCACTTAAGATATTGTTGTACTATAGACAGAGAATCACACTAAGCACTTGAAGACATTTTATGGTACTCAGAGAACTAAACATCATTTTTTAAGGCATTTATTTTATCTCAGGTCGAGTAGCGTGTTCTTTGCCTCGGTCTCAGAAATAGAACTTGTTTGGAATATTGAAAACGTTATCAGATATTCAACCACAATAAAATAAAAGATACATACACGTCAAACTAAGTAAGGTAAGTTTTGTGTAAACACCAGGCGTGTCACTCAGTCAAACGTTTGTGTGAGTGACGAAACCAGAGTAAACAACAAACGTTTCGTACTTACGTGAACCCTCGTGATCGTCAGCTGTAGCGTCTGTGTGTGTGTGTGGGAGAGGGGGGGGGGTGTTGAAGCACTTCTAACTGTCAGTAACTTGTTTGAGTGTGTGTGTGAGGGAGAAGGAGGGGTGTTGAAGCACTTCTAGCTGTCAGTAACTTGTTTGAGTGTGTGTGTGTGTGGGAGAGGGGGTGTTGAAGCACTTCTAACTGCCAGTAACTTGTTTGAGGTGTGTGTGTGTGGGAGAGGAGGGGTGTTGAAGCACTTTAGCAGTCAGTGCACTTGTCGGAGGTGTGTGTGTGTGTGGAGAGGGGGGGTGTTGAAGCACTTCTAACTGTCAGTAACTTGTTTTGAGTGTGTGTGTGTGTGGAGAGGAGGGTGTTAGCTAATTTCTAACTGCCAGTAACTTGTTTGAGTGTGTGTGTGTGTGTGGGAGAGCGGGGTGTTTGAAGCACTTCTAGCTGTCAGTAACTTGTTTGAGTGTGTGTGTGTGTGGGAGAGGGGGGAAGTTGAAGCACTTTAACTGCCAGTAACTTGTTTGAGTGTGTGTGTGTGTGTGTGGGAGAGCGGGGGTGTTGAAGCACTTCTAGCTGTCAGTAACTTGTTTGAGTGTGTGTGTGTGTGGGAGAGGGGAGGGGTGTTGAGCACTTCTAGCTGTCAGTAACTTGTTTGAGTGTGTGTGTGAGGGAGAGGAGGGGGGGTGTTGAAGCACTTCTAGCTGTCAGTAACTTGTTTGAGTGTGTGTGTGAGGGAGAGGAGGGGGGGTGTTGAAGCACTTCTAGCTGTCAGTAACTTGTTTGAGTGTGTGTTTTGGTGTCTCCCAGTGTCCCAGCGTGAAGCTATTGTGTACCTTCCCTCCTCACAAATATCCCAGACACTCACTCACTCACTCACTCACCTGTTTTGTGTGTGTGTGTGTGTATCCCCCTTAACACTCCTAGATGCACTTGCCTGAGTGTCCCATCCTAGACTATGTCCTTTCCTCACAAGCACTCTCTGAGACACTTACTTAGTTTGTTTGTGTCCCAACGTCTATGTCCCAACGTGGGGTCATGTCCCTATCACTCACCTGCCCGAGTTATGTCCCAGTGTCCCAGCGTTGGATGTATGTCTTTCTCACAAGCACTCCCAGAGACACTCACCTGCCCTGAATTGTGTCCCAGTGTGCCAACATAGGCAGAGTCCGTCTCACACAAACACTGTCAGGGGGCACTCACCGGATTATCACTAAGTTGCAACGTTTAAAACTTGGCGGTTCCAGGGAGACTAACTCAGGATTTGGCTGGTCATAGCTTCATGTAGTATACCCACGTCGCCACACTCAGCCACGCTTCCCTCAGTCTTACACCCGGATTCACCACCTTTCGTCCCGACACCCCCTACCATTTCTACCTTAGATCGGCCCTGTCTCCCGGCCTTATCACCCATATCCTTTATAACACAAACCATTATCGATACCATTGATATAGAAGGATATAAATGAGGAATAAACATATAGGTTGTGGGTTTAAAGTTAGAAAAAGAGTTTAGAAGTATCTCAAGGCAATGTCCTTAGGCAACGTTCGCGGGGAGACTGTCTGCGAGTAGTCTAGTTCGTGGCCGCTGTGAACATTGGTTTCAGAATGCATCATCTGGCCGAGAGTTCCGACTCGCCAGAAAAAGTTCTATTTGGGTTGTCAAACTGTTCCTCTGATTTCCGTTTCAAGGAGACGCTCGACTGTGTTTCCGGCATGACGTATAACAGCAAAAACAAGACAGTGATGATGATCTTACACAAGCGAGCTTCTGTATCACCACCTTCACCACCCTCACCACCCTCACCACCTTCACCACCCTCACCACCCCACCACCCCACCACCCCCACCACCCCCACCACCTCCACTCACCCCTCACCACCCCCCACCACCCTCACCACCTCACCACCTTCACCACCTCACCACCTCACCACCACCACCTCACCACCACCCTCACCACCTTCACCACCTCACCACCTCACCACCTCACCTCACCACCTCACCACCCCTCACCACCCTCACCACCCTCACCACCTTTCACTCACCACCTTCACCAATTCTCACCACCTTCACCACCCTCACCACCTTCACCACCCTCACCACCCTCACCACCTTCACCACCCTCACCACCCTCACTACAAGGGCCACATCACCAGCATTTATAATTGTTAGTCTTGGTTAACTATTAATGATGTTAATTATATGTTAAGCGGTTAAATTCTTAAAATATTATCCAGGAAATGACCGCAAACTTAAATTTTAAAATATGTTTACTCCATCCTAGAATTTTCTGGATAATTTACACGTCTTTATAAAGTTACTTATAAACACTTAGGATAATCTTTTTGGGTGTAATTGTAGTTCACAAAATACTCAAGTATACACTGGAAAATGTGGCAAGTCTTGTGGTTTCTTTCATTGGGAGACAAACTCTTCTCATTCAACGGAGAGCCAATCAAATTCTAAGCCCTAGCGAGGCCGCATGCTCATTGGCCAGAACCACGCTGGGACTCAAGCCAATGAGAGGGGCGGGGACGACTCACCTTTGACAGGTAACCCAAAAAAAAAAACGTGAATGAAGAAACTGAACGCTAATTACTTCTTCCGGATTACTTTTAAACTTCATTCATTCTTGTGGCATTTATTTGTTATGGCTTGGCTCTCCCCAGTGAACTATTAGTTAAGCAACACTGGTTTTCCTTGATGGTGTTTCGAAGGTATTTAATTGCCTGTGTGTGATCTGAAACCTTATATTTCTGTTTCTCTTGAACTTCCTTTATGTTTATGTTACTTCAGTGTTGACATCTATACTTCCTTGTTGTGGTAATGTCTTTTAGTTTCACGAATCTATTGTTTTATTATAGAATAGAATAATGGGATATGGTAGTAGTAGTAGTAGTAATAGTAGTAGTAGTAGTAGTAGTAGCAGTAGTAGTAGTATTGTTGTTGTTGCTCTTATTATCATCATTATTAGTATGACATTGTCTTCACCAACAGCTAATTTCCTCATCGATAGATTATTAACTATAACCACTATTACCACCACTACCACCACCACTACCACCACCACTACGACCACCACTACCACCACTACCACCACCACTACCACCCCGTTGAGGATGAGGGTGTGAGATAAAGTCTAGGGAGTGAGTTTGCCATGTTGTGTGTGTGTGTGTGTGTGTGTGTGTGTGTGTGTGTGTGTGTGTGTGTGTGTGTGTGTGTGTGTGTGTGTTTATTTCTTGTTCTCTCTATTATAATTGGTTCCTTGTTGTTGTTTTTGTGTTTTTATTATTATTTGTTTTCCTTTGTTTGCGTCTTTCTTTCTTCTCTCTTTTCGTTCTTTTTTCTTTTCCTTCCTTATTTTTTCTTTCCAAATATTGACAAAACAAAATCTCAAATATTTACACTTAACAAAATAACCAAAACTTGACTTGGTGAAGGGAATGTGTTTGTCTTCTGAAATATCAATAAAAAGGTCAGGTCAGGTCAGGCATATCGAGGCTACATATCACGTGTCATGAGAAGAACATTATATATCCTGTGTCGTGTAGGTCTGTGTCAGCTGGTAATGGCTCTCTTGTTTCCCTTCGTTTGCTGCTTCCTGGGGTGCTGTTCCTCCTCCTGCTGGGGTGCTGCTGGGGTGCTGTTCCTCCTCCTGCTGAGGTGCTGCTTTCTCCTGCCTCCTGGGGTGCTGTCCTCCTCCTGCTGGGTGCTGTTCTTCCTCCTCAGTGCTGCTTCTGCTTCCGGGGTGCTGTTCCTCCTCCTGGGGGTGCTGTTCTTCCTCCTGCTGGGGTGCTGCTTCTTCCGTTTCCTAGGGTGCTGCTTTCTCCTGCTTCCTGGGGTGCTGTTCTCCTCCTGCGTTTCTCCTGCTGCTGGGTGCTGTCTCCTCCTGCTGCTGGGGTGCTGCTTCTCCTGCTGCTGGGTTGCTGTTCCCTCCCATGCTGGGTACTGCCCTCCTCCTGGGGTGCTGCTCCTCCTGCTGGGGTGCTGCTCCTCCTGCTGGGGTGTTGCTCCTCCTGCTGGGGTCCTCCTCCTCCTCCTGTTGGGTGTCCACAGTTTATATTCCTTGTTACTTTTTCTTGTATTATCTGAAGATTAGACACCTACCTTTTTATTTCATCTGAAGATTAATTAACCTAACCTTACCTAGCCTAACCTAACCTAACCTAACCTAACCTTACCTAGCCTAATATAAAATCACCTAAATAAACCTAAACTTAATTTAATCTAATATCACTTAACGTAACCTAACTTTATCTAAACTAACCTAACCTATAATGACATGTCCTCTTAACCTAACCTAACCTAACCTAACCTGACCTAACTTAACCACACTCCCAAGTAGCATTAAGGTGGTGGTTAACTTACATGTTATACAAGGTGGGTTCTCTTAATTGCCATACGATTCTTGTTCGTATATATAAAAAAAAAATCTTAAATCCTTGCACACGTTTCTATTTCAGGTAACGACTGATGTACTGTGCACCTGTGTGTGTGTCGCAGTAAGGAAGAAGTTAACTACAGGTACAACGGTGCTCACTGTCACCCCGTAAGAAGGTAAGTGTAACAAAAACACTTTATCATATACACGTGTTGTATAAACTTTCATGACTTTTCGTTGTGACTTGTTTTTGCTTTTGATCTCGAATTATGATTTTAAATGGATAGTAGTTAGGGTTGGGAGGAGGAGGAGGAGGAGGATGAGAGGGGAAGAGGGGGAGAAGGAGGAGCAGGAGGAGATGGTGGTACGAATGGTGTTGGTGGATACGCTGGACAACTTCTCAGCCAATCAGGTTCTCCTTGGCTGCATGTGTTGGGGGTAAATAAACGTGACGTCATAAGTCTCGGTGCTACTGTTGACGGCAGGAACCAAGTGTTGGCTCTAACTATACTTATTATTTTAAGCTGGTGGGTTGTGATGATGTTGTTGTGTGTTGTGTATTTTACATTCCCAGGGTGATCAAGTAATATGTGTGTGTGTGTGTGTGTGTGTGTGTGTGTGTGTGTGTGTGTGTGTGTGTATTGTCACATTCTTCATCTGGGGCTTCAAATTAGAATGTGAGGATGAGATTATTATGAGAAAGAAACATAAGAACCAGTAACATTTTATCCGTAACAATAAATAATAATAATAATAATAATGATATTTCTCAGAGTAATACAGAGCTGCTGGAAACAAAACACACACACACACACACACACACACACACACACACACACGAGGTAGGTGAGAATAAGTCACAGGTGAGAGAAATACATACATAGATATTATCAGGTAATAGACAGATAATGACAGGTAAATGAACAAAGAGAGAGAGAGAGAGAGAGAGAGAGAGAGAGAGAGAGAGAGAGAGAGCACCAAGATCAGGAAGAACTCACCAGGGTATATGAGTGAGAGTGTAGCTACAGCTGAGTGTGGCCCCGATAACATCTCCGCCGCCCTCCGTGTTATTCTGCCACCCCCACCACTCTTAAGTGCTGAACCTCGGCACAACACACGACAAAGTGGCCGGGGCGGGTCTGCCTTCAAGGGCCTAAAAATAATTCACTTTTTTTTTCCCTTCACTGCAATTGGTCAATCTATTTATTACCTTCACTTATTATAATAATTGTTGGTACTACTCTTTATCTTTTAATATTCTTTTATGTAGTTTTAAGTTTATCAGTTTATTGATTCTATGGTGTGTAAATTCAAGGGTTTAGCATTAGATGTTTTTGGTGGACAAGAAGCATCAGTTTAAGACCATCTACTACAGAGGCACAACAAGAGAAGGGGGGGAAGAGGAAGTGTCTCTCTCTCTCTCTCTCTCTCTCTCTCCTGGTGTATGAATGTAAAACCGTCCAAGAGAATGCCGCCCAGGACTTCCTCACTGGATCGCCATGTTAAGGTGCTGGAATAGAGAGAGCTAGTCGACCTTGACTGTCTTGTGTCAATAATGCCTGCAGGAACCCATCTAATTATATTAAAAAAAAACATATACAGGATATACATTTGTGTGAATTAAAAGCTCAAGTATAGAGATAATGTTACTAGCTAGCGAAGAATACACACACATACACACAAACTAATATACACACACACACATTACACACACATCCTACAGTAAAAATACATTACATCATACAAGGGATGAGGGAATGACGAAGAAGGAGAGCGAGAGAGAGAGAGAGAGAGAGAAGGATGTGATGAAGGACACGTCAGGAGTGAGGGAGAGGGACACCCAGGAAGCAGCAGTGTGCGT